AATCCGCTACCATGAGTTGTCATTCATCTGTGTGATCTAAGATGGTTCCCTTCATCTGCTTACTCTCTCAGGAAGCCCCAAATAGCTTATGTTTTAAGATTCGAGCTTCTGTCCGAAAGACTCTGGGTGGATGCTCCGCTGTCTACTGCATCCACCCATCTACGCAATAGTAAGTTATTTATATTCGATAAACGTGATTTCATCTTCCTCTTGTTCCTTCAAAAGCTCACCGAAATGCTTTCAGACGCACAGTGTTTCGGAGCCTTCAAGAAAAGCAGTCAGTATGTTCAACTCTTAGCTGAGTTGGATTTACTCAAGGACACGTCAGATCAAGCGGACGCTCAATCAGCAGCCGAATCACAGTCGGTTAATGAAAGTACACCAGACGGCTTGTTCGGTCCAATGCAGCCTGCTCTCTCCTCCAAGTTGGTTCCGACATCGCTTCCAGTGAGCACTTCGGCAATGGACTCTTTTTTGAATATTTTCAAAATCAACAGTCCGGATAACGAATCAAGAACTTGTGGTAGGTCTCGCCATAAGGCTACCGTTCTTTAAAACTGCTCAATTGGTTGACTTCGTGTGTTGTGATCTAAATCATCTTTAACGCAGTATGTCTTAGAAGGTTTATCGAATAAACGCTAGAGACCAGAAGTGTTTGGCGGGTACATTGGGTGAACCTTGCGTAGTATGAATGAACTCTACTCAAAACTGTGATTAACTGACATCCGCTTTACTTGAGGGTATATGTTTATACAGTACTTTTCATACAGACAGAAATCATAACACTAGAGAACGTTTTCCTTCATCTCCATTTTAACCTTTTCTGAAGTGTTTTTGCAAAAACAGCTTTTGGACATAGAATAAACTCCATCAATGAGTACTTAGTGTAGACCTGTCCGTCACTCAAACAGTCTCAGTGAGATGGCTGGCTGGTTGAACTCATAAAATAGATCTGGTAACGACTCCGGGACTAGCTTTCAGTCAGCAACCAGTACTAAATGACGAGATCTTCCGAATTCGACCCAGTATTATCAGATCACACGGATCCAAGATGATCTTTGGTTAGAACTGGGGTTGACAGTACCTCTGTTATGGTAAGACCCAGTAGTCCTGAAAAACTTCGATTTTACTTCACTTCAACTTTTCAGCTGTTCACCAAATGCACGAATGTGTTGGTTCAATCTGTTACTTCCGCTCACTGGAAATAGAGCAGAGTGGCGAAAACACAACCAACCAACCTTAATAGTTCACTGACGTTGAGCCGTTTCACTTTACTCACGGAGTGGAAACCTACGCGTTGAGGACGATCGCTTTGATAGAACCGCACCAATAGCTGCGTGGTTGGGTCAATAACCCCTGCTGTGTCCCGTCCCAAGGTCCCCATCCGGGAAGACGGCAATCTTCAACAAGTGCGCGCTTATCGTTGACTGGCCATCATTGTTTCGTTTCCACTCAACATAGGGTAGGGTGAAAGGAGCCGTGCTAGGCGTGCAAACGCATGGCATAACCAGCGTTACCTAGGGAGTACGATAAGCTGATGTATTGCGAGTGAATCATTTCATTCAAGCACTATCCGATGTTCTTCAGTGGTCCAGTTCCGCGGACCCCACTAAGCCCAGGCAATTCTTCGAACGTTCTGACATCACGCATTGTCCATAAAAGGCGCGAATCATAGCCTTGTTCACTCTATCGTTGGCGGAAGCTGATGTCACGATGATGGCTTCCCCATTTGGGAAGTGACTGTGTCTTCTGGCAGCCCACCTTGACCTATGCAGCTACCCAGTTAAATCACTTTTTCTATCACACCAATCAGCTCATTTGCAAATATGACTGTGATTCCACTTGATCTGGCAGTAGCACTTCATATCTCGCCGTTACAAAGTGCCAACCGAAACGTTTAGCCGAGTTAGTTAGGTTAATTAGAATGATCTGGTCCAAGTAGAGTCGTATAGTCTGTAAAGAACACCCCGGGGGTATTTCGACTCCATAGTTGTTAGAGTAAAATGTTAATAACGAATTTGAAAAGCAAGGATGACGGAAAAGCCCTTCCTGTAGTTGCTAGCTGCTATACCCCCGAGTGAGAGCTTAACGATCGGTGGCTGTAACCCATCCCCGGGATCTTGACTGTTCCTATCCTGACTGGGTAACCTGGCCTAGTCCCAGCTTCCTCCGTTTGGCATGGCAGCTAGGCACCGAAAGGGTGTTACAGCTGAGTGATTATTACTACCGTTGAGAAACTCCATTCTAACGTCTGTCAAACCTCACACTCTTCGTTATATTCTTGCCAATACATGCAGACACCAGAAAATCATCGGCGTTCCCCGTAAGTCTCCAGTCTGTCACTTGTCTTGCTTATGTCACTTGTCTCGTGCACATCCATTCCAATAAGACTCAGTCGTCGCTTGTTCTTTTCAGATCACAGCGCAAACCAGTACGCCCTTGGAAACGTATACGGCGGAAATTATCCGGACCGGTAAGTTTGTTTTGGACGCGTTTGAATCGGTCGTCATTGGTTTGCCGACAGGTGAGTATCTGTCACGGCGCAGAGGAGGATTGGATGATAGTTTGTTTCCCAGTCCTCATCATTAACTGATGCATGACTTTGTTCGTCTTTGCCTAAGGTTTCCAGTCTGTGGTTAACAATTTATGAGAGGAATTTGAAACGGGAGCCGCGAGATCTTCCCAGTGAGACAGTCTCATTTAATTCAGGTTTTTGGGTTCTCTTTGTGTTGTTGATCGCTTTGTAGATTGAGGGTATTCAGGTTGTAAATCGCCAGCATTCTGGAAACTTAAATGTTTGTTCCCAACTTGATTGGTTCCTCACAAACTGTCTAATAATCTCGTATTCTGTTTCGTTCAGAGTCTTCCTGTGCTGGGATGGTGGTTTATTTATCTTGTCCGTGGCGGCAGGCTAATTTCAACACCAATTCTATTTATCTACCTTGTCACCGCCATACTCGTGTTGTCCAGTTTGGAATTGTCCGTACCGATTTTTTATTCAGTAGTGGCGTTATTTCTGCTCCCAGTTTGTTTACTGAAAGATTAAGTTTGATGTGAAGTGCAGAAACCGGCTGTGATTTTCTACTCCAAAAAGATTGCAACCAAAGTTGCAATGGAAGTAGCATGTTAGAAAAGAGTACTGGGGGTGACGCGATGTAGTTCAGAATGTGAGCAATAACTGAACTAGCGATCCTTTCAGAGAAACTGATCCTCTAGCTAGTCCGTAGCATCACTCCGTCGACCGTAGTTTGGTTTGTGATCAGACGCTCGAAGTGGTAGATGTCACTCATCCCGGAATGGCTGATTTGGATTTTCACAGTCAAATCACACGGTCAAAGCTCAAAGCCATGACCTGTGATCTCCTGGAGAAACTTCAAGCAACTGCTTAGGTGTTTGTAGTTTTTTTGGGGGGATATAGTGCATTTAACCGCATCAGGCGAATCGCCAGCAACGTCAAAAGTTGATATCTTAAAAGTGCTGCTCAAAGGGTAACACGGAAAGGACCAGAAAATTGTCCGCATGACAGGTGATGAGCTGGATTTAATCAGATTGGATTGCACGCCTTTATGGGGCCTTTCTTAGCGCAACGGTGTATCACCTCCGTTTCGTTCGGCACTGTTATCTCTCCTTTCTTTCCTCCACGTTTACATCCCAGAAATCATGCGAGATTCGTACGTTGTCTACACCATTCGGGTGACGTGCGTGTCTACGGCAACTGGCAGTTCAGATACTTGGCAAACACTTCGCCGCTTCAGTCATTTTGCAGAGTTGCATTCGCTTATCACTGACAGAGTGAGTTTGTGGAATCCAGCATAAGTAAACCGTATTCAGGTTGTCGCTGCTCACAATACTCGGTCACCTCACCTTATCTGCAATAAATGCGCAGTACTCCAACCATCTCTGTTTCTTAGCTTCTTGAACTTTTTGGCACATGGATCTTAGGATACCCCGAGATTCATCAGTGTAGAACAATGGTTAGTTGTAGGATCTTCTCAAGGTAGTGTTTCGTTGAGCAAGGTTCTTGTTTCATATTCACATATTGTCGTTGTAGACTTTCATATGTGCTGAATTTTAGCCTACTTTCCTGTTGTCTCTAGTGCGGCAATATCCCCAAACTGAAGCTTCCTTCCAAGCGGGCTTTCAGCAACATGAGCCGAGATTTTCTTAACAAGCGCCGTCGGGAGCTTGATGAATACTTGACGGTAGGTCGATGTGTAATTTTTTCGAGAAATTTAATAGGAATTTAAAGTGTTTGTGGATCAGTGTTCTGATGCTTCATCGTATTCATTCATGCGTTTCGCCTAATGAAGTTGAGAGCATACTTTTGATCTATAATTATCCACACATTTCATTACAGACTTTATGTGATAGTGAATTTCTGACTGCTTACCCATTGGCACGGGCTTTCGTTGTGGAGTTTCTTCAACCGGATTCATGGGATCGAAGTCGACTGCAGGCTCGCCGGGTAAATATGGATGTTTTGTTCCAAGGGCCACAATCATACCATTTTTCCTTCCTAGTTTGACGTTAAATTCAGCTATTTATCGTCACGCCAGGCTTTCCTGATGAAAGTATATCCCTGGCTATACTGCGTTGAATGTTCAATTTAGGTGGATGGTCAGTCTACGGTTGACTTTTTTTAGAAACATAACCCTTTAAATTATATAATTGAAATGCTAGCTTTTGTACGTTCATCAGTGATCTTCGTTAGGGTTTGTTCAATATAGGTTCGTTGAATAACGCTTGATAATGGATCCCTCGGTCTGTTGGTGTTCCAATCCCAGTTACAGTCAAAGTTATCGTCCACTGTTGGTCCGCACTTAGAACCAAAGTCGGGCTTGACGCCTTCTCTGTATTGCAGACTAACCTGAAAATTATATTAGGACATGAAAACTACTCATCCAGGACTGATATGAACCAAATATTCATTCACCTAAATCTTATGCATTTTCAAGGCCTTGTGGATCCAAAAAACGATTTAGTGCATAGCAGGATAAATTCCAGAATAAGGGTACAGATTTAGATCCCTACTTAACAGAAACGGTCTTCCAGAATGGGATGAGTTAGTTTGGAGCATATCCTGAATCCCCGCTGTCCATGGGGCACGACGAGCAACGCACTGAGAACAGTCATGTAGTAACACGGGCATTTATGTGAGAGTGACGAGTAACATGGGCATTTATGGGAGTGACGTCCCCCTGTTCGAGATTATGCCTCTATAATGACCGCTTCGATATGTCGGAGAGTTTGCGCGTGTGCGTGTCAGTTCGTCATACCACCACCGATCTGGAGTGTGACTTCAGTGGCGGATTGGATGCCTGTCCGATTGGTTTGCACACGTGCGTGTCTACCCTTCAATGAATCAGAGAACTGCTTGTGGGATGACTGAACGTGACCTTGCGGTTTGCTAGCTCGTTACGAGGCGGACCTGTTTGACCGCGTGTGCACACTACACACCCGTGTCCTTACTACGTGTTTCCTGACTTACCTTGAACTTTTATTAGTCTCTAACCTTTGAACTGCCAACCGCAGACCGCAAGACAGCAGGAAGTTCACAGTTGTATTTTGGGTTGATCTGGGGTCTGGCATCCCATCAATTTTGCCTCTCTAGCCGTTACACATCCGAATACAACCCACATAGCAACAGGATCTCACGTTGAGTGGTGACTGTCAATGTGGCTCGTACACCGACTCGGTGGCACCTGGTATTAGTCAGGTGTTCTCCTCGTAGCACGTGAAGCCCTTTTACAACAGAATAGAGCTTATGATGTCACATTGATACGCATTTATTTTACAGGAGATTGCTATATCTGCTGATTCGCCAATCTCTGGTATCTGCTGCTGGCCCGCTCGAGTGCCTGGTGCCGGAGAAAAAAGGCTCATAGGAGGGAACACAACAGCTATGTTCCGAACAAGCGGGTGTGAAAATACAACGGTCTCAAGCTATTTATTGGGGAGACAGTCTGAACTTGGTCCAATGCTGACACGCACGGTCTAGCTTTGGCATTGCGTATTGCGGGGGCGTTGTCTGACCTTGACCGACGCTGACTCTCGCTGTCTGTGAAGCGCTGCATATTGAGGGAGCGTTGCCTGTCTGGTCAGCTGAGAGTGTCAGTAGATTTCGGGAACTCAGTGGTTGATTTCAGGAAGCTAACCTTCCTGAGAGAGATCTAGTTGCCAGTCGATAATCCACGACCCCCATACCGGAGATCCTTTAGTCCATGTGCACCAGCTTCCACTCAATGGTTAGCATCATTGCACCACGATGAGGATGGTGGTCATTGTGGTGGTTTTTTGACATTTTGTTGCTTTCTAGAGGTGTAACGGCCAGATGCGTTGTGGTAGCAGTTTTTGTATACCGGGAAAACTAAGCACGACTCCACCTTAATTCGTTCGACTGGTTTTATCCTTTATTCTCTTTATTCTCTAATCATGGCAAACTAACCATCACTGCATACAGCCTACTTACTCTTTTCTGCATAAGCGTTGTTTATTAATGGTGGTTCCACAGTGATGGAACGCACAGAATGATAGACTTTCTGGGAGTAAAATGCGTAAGCCACCCTTCCGAATGTTTCTCAGTGTGCACCTAGATACCGAGTTATATAATGTATGGCTCGATACTGGCTAAATTGCTTGTCCACGTGTTTTTGCCCGTTCTACTTTAGTTATTTTTCCAAAAAATGTGTTTCTCCCAGTAACATCTTGTTGGCTTTTTCTTAAAGGTGACATCCCTCCTCAATCCTCTGCGAACCGTGAGCAATGCAATGAAGGCCATGCCAGATACGTTAGCAGACGGTTTCTCCCGTATGTTCCCCGGTCTTCAAGGTCCCGGTCCACTTGATCGGGGATATCGTCGTTCCGCAAGCTTTGACACAACCAATGTGCCATCTTTTGGCGATTTAGAGGCGCTAAAAGCTGGAGGATACCCCATGGACTCAGTGAGTATTGTTTTTCTTCGTACCTGGATGCTTAACCTAGGCGTCACTGAAATTTTTGATTACTTGGTGCTGTTCGTTTCTTAGTTTTACGTGTTCATTAATCTCACTCCATGGAAGTTTCTTCCTATCAATTCGTGAGAGTTAAAAGGTGAATCGCAAAGGTAACCGCAGTATTTGTAGTCATTTGATCGTGAAATCCGATCTATCGACTGACATCAGGCGTTACCGCTCAGGATTATTTGCATAGGATCAACATCATATCGGCGCTTACTTGCAGAAGACCAAGTCAGCTTAGAGTGAGCGCTAATCCATCATTCCAAACATCCTTTGATTTTTGTGGGAAGGATAACACCATCTAGTAGTAGCCTTTAGTAAGGCATGGCAATAGTCCGGTTTCCAAAGAACGGATGTCGTTGGGGATTCAAAAGGTGTTTCTTCGATTGTTCGAGTTCGAAATCTGTCTAAGATTGTCTTTCCTTGCGAACCATTGGGTTTTCCGTACTATTTGTAATGTTGTTAATAGGTCGGATATTTCTGTTTATCTTTCTCCGTACGTTTGATTTTCCGCTGAACCGCCACTTTCCGATTTGTGTCCTACTGCAGTCTCCAATGGATGATAGCCCAATTGGGAAGCTCTTTCTTCTGGTTGATGAGATTTTCAACCTTCATCAGAAAAATCACCTTTCTCGGGAAGGAAATTTCGTCATTTTACGCAAGATTTTCCACCCGTTGTTTGGCCCGCGTGTTAATAAGATGATAATNCCCCGTCCTTTTGTTTCCCCGCGACCCCGCCACTTTCCGATTTGTGTCCTACTGCAGTCTCCAATGGATGATAGCCCAATTGGGAAGCTCTTTCTTCTGGTTGATGAGATTTTCAACCTTCATCAGAAAAATCACCTTTCTCGGGAAGGAAATTTCGTCATTTTACGCAAGATTTTCCACCCGTTGTTTGGCCCGCGTGTTAATAAGATGATAATATCCAAGGTAAGTCCAACATCATGCACTCGGGAGTCACGTTAGCAGCGAACACCACCTGTTCATTCCTTAGGCCACTCAACTTGGAATTCAATTGCACATGTGCGATATCGAGTAGCGTCCGAGGTAGTTTAGTTGGTAAAGCAGTTGTCCACCAGGGGAGAGGTCACGGATTCGTGTACCGTCCTAGGATTTTGTCTTTTCTGATGCATTCAGATCATACTTACCACCAAGCAGTATTTTTTCTAGGAGTTACATGGGCTTTTAAACTGTCCGAAACAGACTATCCGTGTTACAGTGAACTAATGCTTTCAAAGTTCAAATCAAAATTCTGTGGTGTAGGACGACCCCAAGTCAATCTAAGCCACGTATGTGGACTCGCAAAAATCTTGAATGTGCATGAAAATTGCAACTATCAATGACATCATCCTGGATAATACCAATCTCCTACACTTCGTTCAGCGGGTATACAACGTACCCGTTTTCGTCGAATCGCCCCTTTGAATCTTTTCACTTCATACATTTCTTGCAAGTTTTCTGAATACAAGCTATGTTGTTTACATTGGAGTTCTTACCTTTTCAGAACTGTTTATCATTTGTGATTCAGTGAAATGCAGCGTGTGGTCTCACTTTTCTACAGGTCCGGGAGTATACGAGTGCGAACCAAATCGCTGAACTCCTGGCCTATCTTCGAGATTCCGTGTGGCCACCAACTGATCCGACACAGCCACCCAAACAACCCTTGGAACGGTCGCGGGAAATTAAACTCAGAACCCGTGTGCTCTGTCGTACTATGTTACTCGGTTCACTTTCTGGTAAGCATTTACCAAGTTATTTCTTGGTCGCCGCTGTGGTTCATTACACCCGCCCGAGTACTTTCATAATGTAACTATCATCGCCATTAGCATATCACTCTTTGCACGACCAATAATTGCCGCGAAGTCCGGGGTTTGTTTGTGCGGGTGCCCTGAGCTGAAAATAAGTGCATCTCCACAAGATTGCGAAAACCCTGGTCTCTGGACCATCTATAGATGAGGTATGAGCCTACTGATAAATTGATTTGTGATTCCGTTTCGACACATTCGTCACGTCACTTCTGTGTATCGTAGACCGGTTGGCTCCATCCGGCCCCACTCCCACAAGAGTGGGGATTTTAGTCTTTACTGCGCTGTTGTAGACCACCGGTCTAATTTAGAATTGACTGGGTCAAGCTATATCACTTATCGAGGTAACCAGGAGCTACTCGACCGATGCAGTTCTTCGACTTTTTTCCACACAGGCTTGATTTTTACAGATTTCGGAATTTGGTTTTGTAGACGGAATATTTCCGGCTTACCGGGATGGTCTTTGTATGAAAAATGTTATGGACAAAATAGCCTATCGCTTAGTGAAAACCGTTCTGAGCTCATCGAACGAGCTAAGCAATCGAACACTCAGCTGCGGATTTATCATGATTGGTTCGTGAAGTGGTGTCAGACAAGGATGTCCACTCTCCCCATTCTTGTTCAACTTCGTCATCGATGAAATGCTGAGGCGAACACTGGACGGTTTTCAAAACCCCGACGTTCAAACTGTTGCTGGCGAGAGCCTTGTCGATCTGGAGTACGCAGATGACGTCGCCCTCATCTTTGAAGACCATAGCGAAGAACGAGCCCTGTTGAATAAACTGACCGTCATCATACCATCATTTGGCATGCGCCTTGCACTTTCAAAGTGCAAAGTCCTGCTTCAGAACGTGCCATCTGTGAACATATCCCTTACAATTCAAGGAGAACCACTGGAGGTTGTGGAAAATTTTACATACCTCGGTAGTTGTATTAGCTCTGACGGAAGTGTGTCTGATGAAGTCAGTGCAAGAATCTCAAAGGCTCGAATCACGTTTGCTAATTTGCGTCACTTGTGGCGTCAAAAAGGCATCTCACTGGATCTT